GTGGAGAACAATTTGGAGATTCCTCAAAAATCTACAAATAGAACTACCATATGATCCAGCAATTCCACTCCTTAATATGTACCCAAAGAACAGAAGAATACTTAATCGGAAAAGTGCTTGCACGTTGATGTTTATTGTGGCACTATTCACAATTGCTACATCATAGAAACAACCCAAATACCCACAAACAGATGAATGGATAGAAAAACTGTGGCACATATACTCTATGGAATACTATTCAGTCATAAAGAACAACAAAACCCTGGCTTATGACAGGAAGTGGATCAATATGGAAGATTTACTGCTGAGTGAAGCAAGCCAGGCTATGAAGGAGAGGCATTGTGTGTCCCCACTTAATATATACCGAGTGTCCACACTCTATGAATGAAAATAATTGACTAAAGGATATAGAAACACAGTATATAGATGTAAATACCAAATATAGTGTGTGTGAAAGAGGAGGGTCTGAGGAAGGACATTTAGAAGAAAAATAGGGAGGCAAAGCATTAATGGCACAAAGAAATATGGTTGAAAATCTGTTGAAGATATTTTGTAGTTTTATCAACTATGCTAGGGACAGATGTTCACCTGCTGAAATATCCATTTTGTAAGCCAAATAATAATATGATTGAATGTATAAAAGAAAATGAAATAAAAATGTAAAAATAACAATAAATAAAATTAAATAAATCATTTTTTAAAGGAAAAAAAAGATACTATTCCCTGAACAAACATTATAAGTGCTAAAGTTTATTAAAAAAAAAAAGTGCTATAGGGGAAGCATTGTTTTCAGGGAAACCAGATTGTGAATAGAGCAAGAAGGCTCAGAGAAGAGGCTTAAGATTTAGGGTTAATGATGTAAATCTAAATGGTAGAAAGAGTTAGGAATTGGAGAGAGTTGGAAGGCAGTAAGATTTGGAGCCTTATAAGGTTTTACATACCCCAAAATATAGGTAACTCGGGTCTGACCTTCCAATGAAAGCATAATGAGGAGAATAAATGAGGACAATCAGATCAGACTTAATAGACTTACAGCAAACTGTGGTGGTGAGGCTGTGAGGGTTAAAGATGGCTTCTGTGACACCCTGTTGAACTCTGTTGTTTGAAGCAATGTTTAGTGATGTGATATTTTTTGTCAGTGCAAAACAATCACCTTTAACCTCTGCTGATGAAGATTTCTGAAGAATGCTGGTGTTATTCCAAGCACATGGGCCCCCTTTGGATAGTAAAAGGTCTTGGAATATATGCATTGATATGAAGATGACAGAATCACCCAACCACTCTTCTGTAGCTTACCCTATAGAGGCAGAGAAGAGCAAAGAAGCTCATTTACATAAATACCAAGACCCAGTACAAAGGGGACACATTTGCAGTACATAGCTAATTTGTATCAGCTGCTATAATGTACAAATAAATAGTCTTATTTTTGTTTTTCTTTCAGCTTTTAAATTCAACTCAATTGAAAGCTTTTGACTGGGGAAGTCCTGTTCTGAACTTGGTTCATTTTAATCAGGTATATAATTATTTACAAAATAAAAATTATCTCCCTTCCTTACTGGATTTTACTATAAATGATTTTACTATAAATCAAAGATAATCTATAAATCCTCAAAGGACAATAAAATAATGAGAAGAACCAGCAAATGAAAGTCATTTTGATTTGAATCTATATTGTCACATCTAACCCAAAAAACTTTTTATATATTCTATGTATTTTTAACAATGAACATACAGGATAAGCTTAGAAACATTGTCAGGCAAGAGAAAAATTTATTATCTCTCAAGTGGAAAATATTGTGTTTGCAATAAGCCTTGCTCTGTACTCGATTAAATAAGAAGTAAAAGGCTCAGCCAGCCAGGAGGCATGGTGGATAAAGCAGCTGCATCCCACCTGGCCAACTCTGCAGTTCGAGTCTAGACCTGGCAACTTGAACAATAAGTTTTAGTGCATGTGTATGCATACGTGCTCAAAATCCCAAGAAGAGAATGGAGGAGAAGGGATTGTAGTGTGGCCTAGGGAGTGACTTCTCACTCTCTCTCCATTTCTTTCTCTCTATCTCTCCCCAGTGAGTGCATACATGCTATAGCAAACTAAAGAAAGAAAGAAAGAAAAGAAAAGAAAAGAAAGAAAAGGCATAGTATATATTTTTTCTTAAAAATCAGTTATTCTTATTTGGAAAGATAAGACAACTATATATAACAATTAGGAAAAACTTACAGGTTAATGAGAATGTGGTTAAAATTTCTGTTAAGTATGATAATATTTTTGCAGTATTAGAGATCAAGTCTATCTGACTTCAGAGTTAATGCTTTTCTACCATGTTTTTCTGCTGCAAGAAACTCCAGGCCAGATGTGATTTGCTTGTGTACAAATCTGAAGTAAATTTTTGTTTTTTATTGCCAGGGTGTTTATATGCTCACCAGAGAGACAGAGGGAGAGGGAGAGAGAGGAAGAGAGAGAGGGGGAGAAAGAGAAAGAGGGAGACAGAAAACAGCCCTCAATGGGATATGGTCATGCTCATTTTTCTTCCATCTCTTCATCCTGTCAGGATTTTGGATATACACACACACACACACATACCTTGCATGTTTTTTGAGCCTCTGGAACCTGTTTCAAGCTGCAGCTAGTCACGTAGGATCCCACTCTCTATGGATAGCACTTAACTCTTGTGCTTAGGTACTTGGATTGAAGTAAAATTTGAGGATCAAATTCAGTGATATCAGAGTTGACCTTGACTGCATGTTTATAATTTATTGATAAATATATTAATAATAACATAGCCACAGAAAATTTAATTAAACTACTTTCTTGATTTATAAAAGTACTAAAATTACTTCTGTGAAATGCCTAAATACTCTGAATCAGATATATGATTTACATCTGAATTATCTGAATTAGATGTATGGTTTATATCGAAATGAAACTTGTAATACCTGTTATTTCATCTCTGCTTTACAGATCCATTAAGTTGGTTCCATTTGGTTCAACCTCTTTTTAAAAAATAATTATTTACTTAATTTTATTTGTTGATATTTTTATTTTTAAAAATTTTCTTAGGGCATGTGTGCTCACCAAAGAGAAACAGCGAGAGAGAAAGAGAGAGGGAAAATGAGAAAGCAAACTACCAGGTCCGGGACTTGACCTGCAGTTGGCCATCTGGGACTCCAGCACCCTAACTAGCACCCTAACCAGCACCTGCTGGTCCTAAGTTCAACCTATTTTAAAATAGCATTTTTAATTTATCATCTAAAATATTAATAAATAGTACCAGTGAATGGTATGGTGGTTAAGGTGCCTGTGCGACTGAATCCCAGACCCGGAAGCTTGAAAAACATGCTAGGCACATGTGCATACATACCCAAAATCCCAAAAGGAAGGAAAAATTACGGGATTTTATTGTGACCACTCCCCATGCCAGATGCTTCCTTACTTTTCCTTTATCTCTGGTGAGCACATGCACCCTCTAGAAAAAAAATTAAAATGAAAAATTAATAAATAGAGTGTTCTAATTATCATTAAAAACTTTAAAAACTCATTTACTTTTAGACAACTTCTCCATTGTACAATGTGACAAATATGAATGTGCCAACTGCAACTTGGAATGGGGAAAGCGACTTGTTGGCTGACCCTGAAGATGTTAACATTTTACATTCTGAAATCACAAACCACATTTACCACAAAACTATTTCATACTACAATCATATAGACTTTCTGTTTGGATTAGATGCCTATCATCAAGTTTACCGTGAAATCATTGATATTATGCAAGACAATTTATAAAGAACCATGGTACTCTATGTTTAAGGATCTGTCTCACTGCTATTAAATCCAATTATTTTTTCTTATTGGGTATTGTTTCACTTATTTAAATAAAGTACATAATTTTTTACTATATGTTCTCATTGCCCTTTGATCCTCCATTTATTAAATTAGTGGCATTTGTCATGTGAGGGTAGTGATTATTAATTAGTGCAAAGAAGTCTATTGAATTTCTAAATAGAACTTAAATAAATGATTTAAAACAATAATATCGTACCAGTGGGTGGTGTGGAGGTCAGGGTGGGTAGATCCCACATGGCTGGGTGCACAGGCTGAGTCCTTGATCTGGCGACTTGAAAAACACCATGTGTGTGTGTGTTTATGCTCAAAATCCCAAAAAGGAGATAGAAGGGATTATGGTGTGATCATCCACCCAGGGAGTAATTTTTCTCTCACCCTCTCTTTCTCTTTCCAGCAAGCACACACACATTCTATAGCAAACTAAAATTGTAAAAATAAAATTAAAAATTTCTAAATAGAAACAATAATCTTAAACATTTTTCAATTATAAGAAACTATTTTCCCCTCTCCAGAAGAATATGCATTTATACTATTAAAGATAGAGTTTGGAGGAATACTTTTTGATATGGTAGTTTATTTTCTTCTCTGTTGAATGAAGAGTAAAAACACTTCCAAGCTATGTGAAGAAATTTGGAGAGAAATGGAGCAGAAAAAAAAGCACAACTCCCAGTGTAATGTTGCAGCCTTGTCACCTCAAACCAAGTCTCAGAGGTAGGGAGATCCTAAAATCTGTAGAGGGATTATACCTCACCTGTCAGAATGTGGAGCATAAGGAGAATATAGTTACCTTTGTCTATGTGTGTTAAGATTAGCAATGGTTAAGTGTATTCCTAGGCAAATAAATATGAAGGTGACCTCACAGAATATCATTCACTATAGTTAGTGAATGAAAGACTCAAGAATTTTCTGTTTCTGTATTCCAGACAAGTATAGATTTGGTCCAGAGAATACTGGAATATGGGAAGAGGCTTAAGATTTGTGATGAGAAAATACTGTCAATAAATTCAATAAATGTAATACTTATTATAGGAGTAACAGATTATGACAAGAAAATGAGCATCAACAACATATGCACACTGAAGTCTTTTTCAACGTCATTCACAGACTTCTGGTTTTCAGTTCCTCGTGTAAGGAACTTAGAAGTTGCTTCTAAGTCTTAACAACAAATAAAAAGCTGAACAGACTGAAAAATCAACAACTGTCCTAGATCATTTTAAAAAAAGACACAGGACCAAATCTGACCTTAGTACAGAGACAGATAAGCAAATACAGGTAGTCACAGCTTACAGGTATAAACTTCTGAGGAAAATACCACCAATGCAGGAAATCTAAATGATACTTAATGAATTACTGGTAGTGCCTTGTGGACAAGTCTAAGAGTTAAAAACCACAGGGAAATCCAGTCACAGAGGGGCTTCCACACTTTTGGAAGTTTTACCTGAAAGAATTTTCCAGCTTCTCACAGTAAATATTGAAGAAAAATTGCCTTGTGCTTCCAGCAGATAGAGGAGAAAAAGACCTGTTTTGAAACACACCACAGCACCGTGTTCTTAATAGGGCTTCCCTCCAGAGAAACCAGAGCCTAACCTGCTAGGTTTTATCAGATCCGAATGGACCTATTGGAAGGGAAAACTCAACTTCATTCAGCTCTATCTTTTTCCTTTGAGAGAAGATAAATACTCAACTCCACCCCACTGAAGCAATTCTGTGCCACCTAAGAAGGTAAAAGGTAGAACTGAAAAGAAATTCTGAAGGTCATAGTGAGACAGGAGAAAGAGCCCTAAGAAACACGAAATCAGGACATAGGCCCAAAGATGGAGTAGCAGTTGCTAAGCATTCATAAGAAACTTCTAGCTCACAAAAAATGCCCTGCAGCCTTCAACAATAGTTCAATGATTACCTAGGTGGCATGACCTAAAACAAATATAGCAAGTAAGGCCTTTTCCAGGCCCCATCATATTCCAGAACAAGATAATGGTATTTATAGCCCAAAGCTTTTAGACAAAAAGGATCTCATGACCTATGTACTCACTCCAAAATTACAAGACTCGCTAGACCCATCTGACAAGTCCACCCACCTCAAGGGGAACAAATTGCACAAATTCCTCCTACATAGGATTAAAAACCCCTAATGAGCATTCCAAATGGGCTACCCACTTTTTCTAACTCCCTGTGAAGAACCTTTCTTTCCTTCAATAAACCTCACTTCCCTATCTCCTTTGTTCGTCAACATTCTCATTCTTCCTGAGCATGAGACAAAGAATCAGGTTCGCTTCTTTTCTGCATTGGTTATTAGGCCGGATCACCCCAATATCCAAGATCGACTGTCCAGAGGCATAGGCTCACTGCAAGACAGACCTAATCATGACACCATGAAATGTTCCTTCCTCAAACCTTAGCACCATATTACTACTCACTGTTGTGAGGGATGTTGTTAATGGGAGAGTCAATGCATGTCTGAGAACCAGAAATGTGGAAAACCTCTACTTTCCACCCAATTTTTCTGTGAATCTAAAACTGGTCTAAAAAGTAAAGACTTTGAAATAATTACATGCAAGCATTTATGCTTTAGGGGATGACAAACTTTTTTTAACTTTCAGTTTCTAAATAATACATAACTCTCCCAAACATTTGCAATTCCTGAGGAGAGCAAGGTGGAAAGGGTGAAGCCTAGAGTTGAGTGTGAATTTGCCACATAATGACTGACAAAAGCAATCTCTGATTTACTGATTGGAGAATTAAGTTTTCTGTCATAAACTGAAAGATGGTTGAAAGCCTAGTTTCAAGGTTGCTAAATTTGTACTTAATCCTTGCTTATTGATGTCTAAAATTGTTATACAAATATAAATTGTACATATATAGATAATGAGAAAAAAATACATCCCTAGATTACTGTAAATGAAGCTAAGGGAAGGCAAATGATAACTTTACAGAGCATAGTTAAGGTTAAAAAGAGAAAGGCTTTCCTGAGAAAGAAAATATACTGTAAGGCAATTTAAAATTTTCACAAGGCCCTAGAGGAACATGGTCATGAGACTTCAGTCACAGTGACTTTTTTAAACATTAGAGAAGAGCTTTCCCCAGGCTATTTGAACGTATCTACCCTATAAATTAACCAATATACATTGTTAAGATGTCACAAAAGTGGAGTGTGAGGGAATGACAACTCTGAAGAAATTTTAGCCAATGAAAGATATGTGTTGAAAATACCAACTAAAGTAAATTAAGACACTGGCTACTGGCTTACTGTAGCATTTGTTTCTCTGGGCAGATGTCTATGTTTTTATCTGAGTAAAACCTTTTATGACCTGCTTGACAAGTTTGAGTCAGATGTCATTTGTTTCAGGTTGACATTTTGATGACCCAGATAAGATGTCAGAGTGTGGGAGCTGTCTGGACATTTGGCACTTCTTTATGAACTTGGTGTTTAGTTCAGTTGATTTTGAGAGTTTTGTTGGACTGTAACAACCTCCCTCCTGAAGTCAGATGAGATCTGTTTTTTTCTTACTGCTCTAACCAACTTCTCATGAAAGGGGTTTTGCCTGATTCTGCTTGTCAGAGGGAAGGTTGCTGTTTTTACAGTTCACAGTATTTCTTTCTCTTTCTTTCTTTCTTTCTTTCTTTCTTTCTTTCCTTTTAAGAATTATTCTATTCAACTTTATTTCATTTATTTATTTATATTTTTTAATTTGACCAGAGTGGGACAGAGAGAGAGAGAGAAAGTGAGAAAGCATGCCACCAGGTCCGGGACATGAACATGGTCAGCCATGTGGGAGTCCAGTGCCCTTAACCACCATGCCACCTACTGGCTCCACTTCAAAGAATTTCTGACTTTTCTTTAGTTTTGATTTGTTGAGATTGGTTTTTGAATAGAAACATACACAAAAGGAGTTCCTCCTTCATTTGACACTCTAGCAGGGTTTATATTTAATTCTTATTGCAATGCCTCTTGCTATTACTTGACCAAATGGAATTTTATTACCCAGGATAATCCCAAATTACAATAGCCTAAGTGGGAATATTTTGAAATTTCTAAATTGGTTTATTTTCACGTACAGCTAGAAGGGAAAAAGTTCCAAGATTAAATGAAATCAATGACAAAGTTATTTTCAGTGGTATTTAGAGGCCTCTCAAAGGGGAATGACAGGTGGTCTCTCTTCAGGAAGCCAACAAACAGCTATTTAAAATAGTCTCTCTATAAAGAAAAAGCTTCTGAAGCAACCTCTAATTCTCCTACTGATCTAACTCCTTTAGCATTATTACATGCCTTTCCATTTGAACTCCTATGTCTGGACATTTCTTCCCTGTTTCCTCCACCATTGCCTGAACTTAGATCAACTGAAACACCACCAGTTATTGTTTGCTCTATTCCATGAGCAGTCCATCACTGATAGGAAAGAATTGGTGATTATTTTTCAACTCTGGTCTAGATCAGAATTTAAAGCCATTACTAAAGACTTATCTAACCCAAACAAAGACCCTATCAAGTTGGCTAAAGAATGTTATCTAACTATTAGAACCTTTAACCTGGGAATCTTGGTCTTATATCAAATTATTCAAATTGTAGTTTCTGATGCTTAAAGCCAAAGGATGGTTTAAACAGGTTCAATGACATAGCCTTCTACTAGCCATTAATTGTGCCACTTTAGACTGTGTGATATTAACTGATATTAGTTGTGGCCTTACACAGCACTGTTGTCAAGTTTTTCAAAGGATTATTGATTGGCATAAAATCCAACAATGCTAACAAAATCCACAAATTTCAGAAGAAATAGACTTACTTTGAAATGCAAGTGAAAGGATCCAGATTGAATTATCACAAATTCACCCAAGCATAGCATAGACATTCTTGAAACATCAGGGTCTACTTGGATTTTGTCAAATTTTGAGAAAAGAGGGAGTAATAAAAGAGGTAAGTTAGCCCATACTTCAAATATATTATTGTCTAATATATATTCCTGGAATGATAAAATACAGAAAAAAAAAGAAGGT